CACAGTGGGAAAGTAATTTCGCAAATCTTTCTAGGTCACGCGATATTAACGGACGGTTGGAAAACGAAATATCACGCTCGAATTTCCACGACTTGCACCGTCATCTCCGAGACACGTGTAGGCTAGCGTCCGCCGCGTGTGTCGTACATGCCAGGCCAGCAAGGCCGTGGGTCCTCTGCGCGAGAGTGAAGGAGTGGGGGAAAGCTGAGAACGCGCGAACGGGCGTTAGAGAGGGCGCGACGTTCACGCGAGTAGAGCCGAGTTCGCCCGAAGGTTGGCTCGGTGTAGGCTCGAGCCATCGTAAATTCCGCGAAACGACTGAACATCCGGCCAAATTATACATCTCATAAAGTATTCCCGGCCGGTTCCTCGAAGCAAGGCAGAAAGTATTTCGCATAATATCTTCTCGAGCTACGAGGCAGAATAGGTTGGGAGGGGGAAGTGGAGGACGCCAACCCACGTCGATTCGATCCGCTGCGGCTGCTGTAGAGAAGAAAGAACGAGGAAGAAGCCCGGCTGCCGTGTAGGTGGGGAGAGAACGAATAAATACGGGAGCAGAGTTCGAGGGAAGGAAAGAACTGGGACCGCTCCTATACGCTGATACGACGGAACGACGAGAAAAGAACGGCACAATATTTCAATATGCTAAAATTATCGGGCATTTCGCGAGCCGTACTTCTGCTAAGTAAAGCTTCCACTCTCCGCTTCTCGCTCCGCTCATCGACGGATAACGAGGATTTCTGTTAACGCGTTGTGGATTTTCTTGATCGATCCCAAATGATTCCGCGAGAGCAAGATATGGAGAACCATGCAGCGGAAGTACGCCCATTTTGTTGAGTAAACGATCTACTTTCTTGATATTGTATGTTCCGATGAGTGAGTGGGGTAGGTCTTTTTGCTTGGGCGATATGAGTACTAAATACGGGAATATGATGATCATAAAGAAATTATTCGATGAAGTTATAGATGTGAGAATAAAGGATGCTCGAATACTAATCTTACAATGAATCTGTAATTGAGATTATTTCGGAGACAAAGGAAACCCGAGATTTGGAGTGAACATGTCTAAATAATTTCACAAATCCCTGTCAAAGCTAAAGAACTGATACCGTAATCATAAACAAATACACCCAAAACTTTCTATTACTTAATATTAGTAAATACTATGCAGTAATAATAAAGGATATATATGTAATAAGCTACGCAATAAATAGAACTTTCCATCCAAGTGAGACAAAGGATTGAATTGATCACTTCAATGCTACCTTTATGTCAAGATGAGAGAAATCTACAGACAACGACAGATTGTACCATAACAAGGATACGACGTTGCCTTGAAAAGAAAAACATCGATGGGCGGTGGAACTGACATTACACACCCTAGCACGCTTACATAAAGATTAACTCGGCATTATTCACATGATACGGTGAAATCGTTAAACCAAGCAGCATTGCCTGCCATCGTTACTTCAAAATCCCACATTCAGTTCATGAAACTTATCTCGCGTTCAAATCCCCGGAACACACTGGAAACGTATCAACCGGCTTGCGTTAACCGGGACAGGCTGCGCGCTTTATTTATTACCGGCCGACATCAACGCCTATTTATAACATCTCCGTCAGAAAGGTGGAAAAGGACAGCAATCTGCGTATCAACTCTAGGATCACGTTATCGAAACGAATGTTTATTTGTTATTGGGCTCGACGTGATTCCTGATAAATGATCGGTCAAAAAAAAAGAAAAATGGAAAAAAGGAAGGAAAGAGGTGGGAAAAAATGTAAAAGCAGGGACACGGAATCGAAAACGGACGCGAGAGCCGGGTTCTATTCCTCGTATAATACAATAATTCTTCCGTCGACAGGTCAGCGGAAGCAGAGACCAACGTTCCGGCGTAACGCGCTGCAACAGAGGCCAGGACGAAAGGAAGTGCAACGCGTCACATCTAGATATCGAAATGGTGCGTTACATCGGGACCGGTTCTATTTTACCGACCGCGTAAACCACCGGGGCATACTCCTTTCTCGCCGCGCGACGGCAACTCGGTCGATATCGTCGGTCTTCGGGGAGATAGCGAAATCGGATTCGCTGGACATGTCTATCGGACCGTAAAATCGAATCGTATATTTCGGCATTTTTTCGGCAGAGTTCGATGCCAGCCAGGGGGGAGACGTCGCGCGTCGTGGCTCATCTTTCTCTTCCACCGCTTCCTCCCACGATACGTTGTACGCTTGAATGAAACAATTTAGTGTTATGCCCGTCATATTCGAATGGGGTTGGCGGTTTCCGATATTTGTTTTGGTTCCTGGCTACGAGGACACGGTTACATTGAATTGTCACTACGGTATTTGTATTACAAATATTTATGGAACAGCGTAAGTAGTTTTCGTAGCAATCACTGTTGCAAACTCGCCACCAGAACGATCACGGTGGTTCGAAGCTTCTCGCAAGTGCTCGTGAACCCTTCGTTTCTTATAAGCATACGCTACTAATCTGCTAATAGTAATCCCGCGTTTGAGGCACAGACCTGTTAAGTATCCAAACTGATACGTCATCTAGCAGGCCCTTCTTTCCTCCTATATCGTTCTCCTCACTCGCTCAGTCGAAGAAAGTATCGCCTTAGCATTGTCAACCGAGAATAGTGTCAAGAATCACGGAAAGTATATTATAACCTACTTATAAAGGGGGCAGCGCAAATGGAGGGTGCCCCTAATTCCTTAAATCACAGCGGAAGAGTTTCGGCTACCGTATATTGAATCATGACGCTGTCAATGTAGAGTTGCAGTAACAGTTGCTCCAGTGTCCGTGCTCTCAACGACACGCAAACTTTAGAGTGTCGGATATAGTAGAATTTCTAGTTTCAGTTTCAGGGTGACATTCTACTGTACATGGTAGTCGAAAATTCTACTTCTCGAATGGTTTGTTACTTAGACAGTGCGATATGCTCGTCAATTCAGTGTGCAACGGTACTCTGTATGTCGATAATACAAGTGTCTCTACATTCTGTCTCTTAATTAATTCTTGGCTTCTTTCAAAACAAGCATTTTTAAGGTTTGTCACCTAGGCGACTGTGAGAAGAGAATGTTTTTGGCTGATTCTCACTTTTGAATGCTTTCACAGAGATATTATCAAGCAACCTGAGGAGGAATCTGTTCACCCAACACATACGGGCCATGGAGACCTTCGGTTGGATCTCATATCCATGCCAGACCGGAAGTGGCCCAAGAGTAGTACGCCAAATCGTGTATCTCCCCGAGCGTACTCCTTAAGCCTACTAGAGTCATGTGCGAGTTGACTTCCTCCGCGGGTTGGACCATGCTCTTTTCATTGGTATGATGACGATCTAAGATTCGCAACCAACATCTGCCGCTATATCCAAAATGGACCAGGTACGGCAAAGCAGCGCATTGGCGCCGAGAAGCTTAAGAAACAATAGTTGTACACCTAACATAGCGTACACAAACGATGCTCAAATGAAATGAAGCAATAGAGAGTTCTTCATCCTCCGTCAATATCAATCCTATCCTCAATGCTTCTCATGCTCGTCTTCATCGTAGCTAACTAGCAACGTCCTTACAAGAGATACATTACTCTTATTACACGTAATCAGGATCATCCCTTTCAGTACCTACAACGTGTCATCGAGCACGTATACACGTTCACTGTTACGAAGATCGAAACACTGAGCAAGCGAGGAATCCGTGAGAATATTCGGGACCAAGGTAAACACGGACATCAAAGGATCAGGCAATGAAACGGTCAGAACTCGAAAGTACGCCTTTTCAGATTACTGCGAACGCTACACGACTCGGTTGAACATTTTCTCTATAGCTGCTCGATCTTGGTCTCTTTAGAGGCGACGCCTGACCCCCACCCGCAGTCCTCAAGCTCCCACTTCCAGGCCATACGACCCCATCCGTCGACCGTCCTGGTTGGCTGGGGGTGGGAGGTAAGCAACTGGAAATGTTGAAAGCGAGCCAGTCGGTTTAACCAGGGCACTAGTTGAGAGACTGTTAGTCGAGGAAGGATTCGAAACTTCGAGATATCGTTGGAAGCTCGGCCTAAAGAGGGAAGAGCCAGGCGTTTTAACTCGAGTACTACCGAAGATTCGGGTCAGCCTGAAAGCAACGACGCGATATAAACGATGGCCTCTATCCGAGGAATGGCAAACGGAGAGATATCCTTCGTGAGCAAAAGGATATCATGCAGTAAACGGAGCTTGACGTGGAGTTCTGTTTGGCTGGCCTCGGGCTGACTTTCCCATTGGTTGAGACAAAGGACTTGCTCTTCAGATCCACTGTGAGCAACGTATTCTTTCACGGAATAGGTGTGCTTGGCAAAGAGGATGCAAAGGAACACCTTGGTGACTTGTCTGGGAGCTGGATGACTTCACGATTCCAGAATCGGTACACCTCATCCGATAAAATGTCCACGTACGTGAGTAACGTTTCATTTCAGGATAATATTTGAAGGTAAAAGGTGACTCTCATGACAGAAGTATTGAAGGCAGAATTGAAGGAATTGGGAAATCCTTTAGCTGTTGTCAGGGATTAAACATGGCTGACCTAACCTTGTTTTGAAGCAAATTACTGGTGAAGATATAATTCCCTCCATCGAGGCTCACGCGAACTACCAATTTAAAATTGCTGCAGCACAGTAATAGGGTAACCATTTAAAGTGCTGTAGATTCTAAAAGCATAAAAATACATCAAAGGCTCTTTGGGCACAGGTTACCAAAGGAACGGATTGTGGGATTCGTCAAATAAACGTACAGAAAATAATCGCTGATGGGGAATGTTATTACACGTTGTTGTAAGATCAAAGCAGGTTTTGGACATTTGCTGTTTTGATTTCGTGTTTACACGATACCACTTGCTATTTTCGGGGGTTACACAACCGTATATGGTTTCCGTATGTCCGTCACTGCTATGAGTTTTGAAACAATGTAACAGGATTCCTTGTTACGACTCATGTAGCATAAAGGACTTACGCGGATACTCACCTGACGTGGAAACAGGGATGAAAAGCTGCCGGATTATCCTGTGGCGAGAACTTCGGTAGGGCACCGTGAAGGAGGGCGAGACGCACCACCAGCAGCACTCCAAACTGTAAATAAAAGGAATCCTTTAGCAAACTACGTGTGCTTAATTGTTCTGAGTAACGCTTTTTCCGCGCCGCTGTTTTTCTCGCCAGGTCCGCGACGAACGAGACTCACAAATTCTAGAGACGTAACCAATCTCTTATGCAATCGAAGCTTCAATTCCGTTCAACCTAACCTAACCTAACCAAACTTTCATGAAACCGAAGCTTCAGAAGCAGAATTCCTTTCTCATTCTTGACGTTGCAGATCGTGAAAATATTTTTAATTTTTGTATTAAGCGTATAACAAAATGAATGGCAAAATCGGATTTTTAATTAAATAATAGTAATTCAAAGTTGTATAATAGCATGAAGCAATGTTACCAATGTGCAGTCACAAACGAGAGTTCATTTAAGAATTGTACCATAATCGTGGCTAAAATTGAGTCTACAAAGAAGATACGGAACAGCATCTGCATCTGTTTTGTTATGTTCTATTAGCCCATCGACTTAATCTCGCTGGAATTTCTCATGGATTGTTTCCCTAAGATTTGCCAGATTGTAAAATGCGAATTTTCTACCTGCCGTTTACATGGCTCGAAAGATGAATGAGAGTGAAACAAAAGGGAATCCAGATTGCGGAAGAGGCTCTTACTAGCCTTTTCTGGAGGAGGCTCTCGACTTGCGGCTCAATGACTCGCTACATTGCTAGAAGCATTGGAAGCTTTCATTAGCTAGCTTGGAAAACTGAAAACAAGAAATGCCCCGAGCTAAAAATCTCACGCGGAAATACAGTGCCAGACTTAGTTGCATGCTGGATACGTCTTCATCCGGAAGTAACGTTTCCCTTATATGTATAACCTCGTATTCTCGCTCGTCGTTTTTTTCACATATTTTTACTAGAAAGGATTGAAAGTATAGGAAATAATTTGAGTATGAAGTCAACAATCAAATTTTCATACGCATATTATGATTCGTATTATAATTGAAAAATACAAACTTGAACTTATTGCATCACGTTATTGGATATTAATTGTAAATTAATATTCATCATTTATATTTTTTGTGAATAATAGGGTACTTATTATGGATATCGGAAAATGCAGTTCTATCTTTCTTCATAGCCTCTTTGGCAATGTACTAATTTGCCGCCTAGTGACGGTAGTGCAGCATAATGACAATAAGATGTCTTAAATGGATGTAGATTATAGTTTATAATTATTCAGCCTTTTAAACAGGAAGGTTGGACACGATGTTGATAAACTACGGACTCTAAACTAATACGTTCAACTTTCATCGACTCACGATCGTGGAAGTATAATATATTTGAGCATAGTCGATGATCATAGCAAAGATGTTATCGAGGCATCGACAAAGAAAACAACAAGCGGTCAAATGTATAAACATGCACAATACGGAATATTTTCTAATATATACCCAAAATATAATTTGCAATTGACAAACAATGCCTCTGTCACAATACACGACAAATACATAATATAGGTCCAATAAGTTAAAGAACAACAGGCATCAAGGAAGACGCATTTTCGAACTATTACTTATCAGATTGATAAGAAACAGGTCAAAATTGACACCCGACCAAAGAGTTTTAGATATAGCTTACATATCCCGCACCCAAAACCTATTTTCCAACGTAATACGTCAGGATATGGGAAATAGCATTCCGGTCTCATGACAGAGTCGTCGCATTTACGTCGTGAACGACACCCAGATCTTTGGTCGCATTTCCGTCACGTCCAGCATAGATCCCATCCTCGTTCGAGATCACTCTTTACGCCATACTCTCTAGCTTCACCGCGTGGACCGCCGTCAAACCTTCCTCTTTCTGTCTTCGGCAGCGTCCCTCCATGTCCCCTTCAGGATCCCATGTTCTTGGACAGATCGAGAACGAGTGGATTCTAGAAGCGTTCTACAGCCGGACAATGTCTGCCACTCCAAGGCATTCATATTCTTCCACGATAGACTCTACGTTTACGTGCACTCGATACACGTCCTAACCTCACCTTCACGACTCCACGTCCAACGACTCTCGTTCCACGGATACGGTGGTCGCTGACGTCTTCGTCGCTCGAGCGGTGGGGGAATATCGCGTTATGTCGCCACCAGGGCTCGCTGACCTACGCCACGAGCGGCCGGGAACGAGACAGAAATTCAATTTCGGTAAATATCCGATGCGGGCAGGACATTGCTGGACCACGTACCCGCCGGAATTCCCGCTTGTTAGTCTTCCGGGAATGCCCGAGGTGGTATTATAACCTAACCCCGTATACACGCTCGGGAATATATTTCTCGCAGAACCAACGTGCATTTTTTCGCCGGATTGACACGGAGAACAAGCTCCTCGAGGTATAGTTTCTAAACCCGTTTCGAGGAACTTGGTGAAACTGTTGGATCGGTGTAAGTTGAAGGGTGTAGTAAATATATATCTCTGTTGGAATTATTAAAATATTTTTGGCTGAATGCTATTTCCAGCGGATTTAAATTCCAGGGTGCAGGTAAAATTTGCTGCTCTTTACTGCAGTGATGGTTCTTCCGTGCATTATGCGCGTTTGCTTTTTATTTATAAGTTATTATTAATTCGCGAATTGTTGGAGATTTTAATTAGAAAGGCACCTCGTGCAATTATTTTACGGGCAATTATCTCTTCTCGCGGAGAATAATTGATGCCATGGCGTTTAAACGCGTCGTTACGTCCCGGGATCCTCCGTTGAAAATTATATTTTGGAATATGTTAATTAAACACCCCGACCGTCGCTGAACAAAAGCTGTTCATACCCGCGAGTTAACACGATGAATGGAATCATAATTACACCCATGGCTTTAAGACAATTCGCAGCATGGAGCTAAGATTTAAGCGGCAAGCCAATTGACTAACAATACGCATGCTGATGTAGAGTCAGTCAGCAACGCGTATCCCTAATGCATTGGCTTATCGATTGCGATATGCTACCGTCCTACAGAACTGTAGTGCACGCTTCGTTGTTGCCGGATGTGAACGTTGTCGGATCAGACCTAATACACGCCTGTAATGTGCATCGATAATTGCTAGCAAGTTGGACTAACTGAACGAAGAATTCAGCCATGCTATACTTTTTCACGCAATTTAATGACAGTGTTATGAAAAACAAATTTTATTATATACATTATGATACAATAATTTTCATAGAAATCTATGCAAATTTCTATTGACAATATATTAAAAATTACTCGTTCTCAAACGTTACTGACTTTTGATGTTTGAATATAAAATTTGCTTACTTGGAAGCAGAATAACTTGAAATTTCAAAGATCTTTGTATATATTTCTGCATTAAAAATTTTGAAAGCTTGCTTTCCATTTTTTTAAGCTGGTAAACAGACATTTACCCTATACAAAGTCTGTTCCTTGATCCTAAGTTTATATTCTGCTCCATTGAAATAACTATTTAATAATTTTATTTCTCAATACCTACATTTCCGTTGGAAAAAGTTTTTAATTTCGAATTTTATTATTCGATAATTTGCCAGGTCACTTAAAATGACGGATCATTTTCTTCATGGCACAGACGTGCAGCTAACACGATTATTGTATTCATTGATTTTCTTTAACCGAACATATATTCTGGAATCGATAAATTTTTCCGCTGGATGTTCGAGAAGCCTAAAAGAATTCCCACGAAACGATACATCGTCCACCAAGTCGCAGAACGACCCCTTAACACGAAACCGACCCGAGTCCGGCATAGAGGGATCAAGAAATTCCTCGCTCTTGAAATTCAGTGTTCCTGAGGGGGAGAAATTACCCTGTCGACTAACCTTGTCGTAGAGAGCATGGCTTTAGACGTGTAAGTGGTGATAGGTAGCAGGACCAAGGAGGCTGGAAAACCGGTTAAATGTGTACGCGGGGCCCTAGCCTCCCTCGTTTCTTCGCATATATTAGCATACCTTGGAACATTGTACGCTAGGACTTCTGAGCGCACCCTCCACTTTCCATCGGTCTGGTAATACTTCGTACACTCCCATAATCTCGTGGGTGCGATACAAATTACGCGGAAAGAAATAGAAGGACAGAGTCAGAGGGGTGGAAGATGAGAGGTAATTCTGCAGTCACTTGCGTTAATTTACGGTTAATAACACCTTTATGTCCATCTGTATGAAGAATTTAATCCAGTCGATGACACTTTTATAAAATTTTCTGTTTCGTTTATGGACTTCCATGTGCGCACTCTCGACTTTCTATTGAACTAATGATACTTTGTACACTCCCTTGACTTCGTGGGTACTATACAAATTATATAGAACAGCGAAACGAGGGAAAAGCGATGACAAGGAAGAAATGGAGGGTAATGGTACAGTCAGTTGCATTAATTCGCGATTAATGACACTTTTATCAGCACCTACATGGAGAGCCTTATTGTGTCAATAACACTTCAACAAAGTTCGTTCCTCTTCCTTCTACGCTCAGAGGCTGTCACCTGCTATCTACGATGACCATTTCGTTATACGTTAATTACACTTGGTTAATTAAAATTAATTAATCACACGACGCGTTTACCGGGCGTTAATTGGCGAAACTGAGATTCTGGATGGCAGCGTTTGCCACCGGACGTCACGGGGTCATCCTCGACTCGCTGAGGATCCGGAGCAAGTCAAGAGACGTCGAGCGAGCAATTGAGACTTATACGAGTGCACTTTGCATATCTTTAATGGCAGCCCTCGCCGAGATATCGTTTAAATTAATTCGCCAGGGCCAGGACAATGAAACGTCGCTGGGAAGAGACTGATGCCAAGACTGATACGATCACTCGTAACTTCCTCAGGTGATTGCTGTTACGATGTGCGAAATGACGTTGAGAATGGTACGTTAAATTAATGAACGACCGCATTCGTCAAAGCACCATGGAACAGTGTAGACCTTACTATTTTATTATTTTATTTTTTAACTTGCATATTGTTAATGTTCAATCGGTAGCGTGACGTTAAGTGAACCTTTGCTGTCATTGACGAAGGTCTAAATAAATTGGAATTTCAAGAAATGATGTTACACTCTGTATCTCTCGAAGGGAAGGCTATAGATGTTTTTGTAATTGCCGAACCATTTTTACTGGCTGTTCAATTTTTTCCTTTATCTCAAATTAGATCTACTGTATTCTACATACACTTAATAACTGACATAAATGCACGAACCTCAAATTTAGAGTTGATCTTTAACAGTATAGCTTAATTTCAACCTGAAATTTAGATCTTAACCTTTTTCCCCGAATGAAGCATAAAATTTGGAATGTAACGTTAACACTAAGCAAATAATCTAAGCTGAAATATATAACTTTAGCTTAGAAGGAGAACTTAATCCCATACCCTAATCATAAATTCTTAACCTTAACCTTAAATATAGACCCTAAACTTAAATGTCGTGCCTTCTATTTTAAAATATTTATCTGCAAGATCATAACCAACATCACAAGCCCAGAAGTCATCATCGTCCACTGATCACGAAAACAGCACGCGAGCATAGTGAAGTATACGCAAACATCTGTTACAGGGCAGAGGAGAAACAAGGAAACGCCGAGTCGATAAATAGTAGCACCGCATCCATAACTACTCCCGTGGCTACCATCGGCCTGTCCCGTATTTCATCGTAAGTCTTCGAAAGCCACGATCGCTTTACCGCCGCCAGTGGAATAGCCTAAGCAGTTTCCGTTGGTCGGCCAACACAATTCGAGGGAGGCGAGTTTCTCTTACGCGATCGTAAAAGCAAACTCTCGACGGTGAGTGTATCTGCGTTAACGATCGTTAAACTTACTTAAGCCACAGGACGCTGCAAACATCGGCGGTCGCCTGCAACCGGACGATAAAAACAGGGAGATATCGGTCGTTAAGAATTAACGACACGGATCTGGGGCCATTATCGCGAGACAAAGTTCCTGGACTTTCACTCGCAGAAGTCCGATCTATCGAACTCTATACCAGATCTACCAAACCAATCAACCATAATGCCCAAACATATCTGACCAATGACAAAATGTTTCTATTTAACGCTTTGTACTCGCCGATTTTTTGGAAGAGGAAAAAAGAAATTAGAAGATCTCCTGCCATAAAACTGACGTTATTTTTCACAGCAGTGAATAGGAAATCGTATAATAATTAACACGTACAATCGTTTGCTTTTAATACCTAACACGCTGTTACATTGTCCAGAAAATTTGATTATACGATGAGTGTTAACACTAACTATTCCACAACTTAAATACCTAATTTCAAATTTTTGAATCAATGTTCTGTATTCTGCATTATCACTCTGTTTATTTGACTTTTCGGTTTTTGAGTTCCCTCTTTATCTTCCCATCTACACACGCTTTGACCAGATGTCACATAAATTTTACTGTTATACAAAAATACGCAGCTACTTTCGGAAAAATTGATATTAACCTTCGTTAGCGTATAAATATAATTTATTTACATATATGAATATATACACTACAGATACTATCACTTAACGGAACGTTCCTTTCATGATCACAAATATATAAGGAAGAAACTTCTTACCGAGCAAGATATACATATATCTTTGACGGGACATGACAATTAAATTGGTTAAACGCAATAATCGAAACCTAACCTCACTACGTTAACCTCAAATCCAACCCAATGCTTCTTTCCCAGAAACACGAAAGGACAAAAAGGAAACGAAGAAGTATCCAACACGGGTCAACCTTCTCATACTCGTTCACCCCTTGTTATTTCAAACACACACAGATCCAGGTAATTACCAGTGAGAACTCTCGTCGATCTGCCAGTCGGAATGGGCGGTATAGCACGACGGGCCGTTCCAGGCAGGAAACAATGCGCGAAACGTGAGGCGTCGGAACAATATTCCTATTCTCGATCGACCATAACGAAGGAACTTCGGGCGAATTTTCAAGCGCCTGTCAGAACAAAGCGGTACGTTCGCATTATACCTCGCGAGCATTCTACACTGGGCCGGCGGATTTTCAACTGTATCGACCATGTAAACGACCTTGGGGATAATTTCGCGTAAACGGCGGAATAAATTTACCAGGAACGCCTGCTCACTCACGCAGCATCGATTTCGCTCGGTGTTGCGTTTAAATTTCATCATCGCCTCCCGTCCGGCACGACCAGGAACTTCCCGGCACGTCTGCAGGAGGTGAACGGGATCCTCGAGGCAGGATAAATGGATAGACGAACACGCGGACCATCCACGATCGGTCTATTCGTTTCTGCTCAACGCGAGTGTAGACATCGCCGGTAATACGATAACGACGCGACCATTGGGCGGAACACGCGCGCCCTCACGCCAGGCGGCTCGTCCAGTAACCACGCGGGGCTTCCACGCACGAGTGACCGCGTGTGACACGTTAAGAGGATTCGATTTTGTCCCCGGTGGTATTCGTGGACGAGTAACGGGACTTATTGTCTTGTACTCTCTTATTGTCGGCGGACAGGCCACTGGTTCAGTTGTTCGGTTTACGGTTATGAAATCTGATTTGAATACGCGAGTAACCGAGTTAGGGGAGTAACTGGGCTGAAAGGTGACACGATTGTCGAGGATTGTGGGGCTTTCTGCGGGTTCCGCTATCATTATGCATCTGTACGACACGTGCGTTTGCAAATTTGTTCACATTCCATATGTACTTTGTGCTGTTTTCCTTGCTCCTATACGTATGTACATCATTATTACAGTCTTGCGCGAATTTGGTCGATTTTAATATAATATAGTTTAGAATAGTGAGACTTAGGCTGATATATCTCTATACATTGATGATGTTTAAGAATTAGGAAGAAAATAATGAGAATATCATGTAGGCAATTTACTCAAGGTATATAATTATCATAGAGTGAGGAGTGGAATGATAATTGATAACTTCTTTAAATCAACTACAATGATCCTCATTCTTATACATTTTATAATTATATACGTAATTGTCAAGTAAAGAGTGGCTTATAGGTAAGGAAACAGCGAAGAAGAAAGAGGGAAACAGGCTCATACGGTGACATCCCCTAATTTTAATCTAATCATTCCAGCAATGGACACGTCGCTATTACACTAGTCAAGTTTTGTGTCGCAAAAGACTGCTACATATGAAAAGTATAATTATCTCGAACTCTCGTTTGCTACACACCTGTGCTTGCCGAACAAACAGTAGAAAGCTTTACAAAAACATTTTCGGAGCCCCGAAGCCATAAATAATATAATAAGCTTCTCAATCCGAGATGATTTCGAACTTACTCGTGTTCCCTAGAAGCTTACAGAACTCACCGAAACAAGCAGCGCCGCAGCCCGACGGGAAAAGTGTCTGGAGTCGTCATTCCATCTTGCCTCGAAGATAGACCTGAATCACAAAGAGGTAAAGCGTTAATTTCATTGCACTCGATAGGAACGACATCAGACATTTCATAAATCGAATTAACGTCACCCAAACATACACGGTTTCCACTGGCCCCATCTTCCACGAATCGAAGGTCCTCCCATTGATCCAAAAGATTCGATTATCTTGTGAATTTGCCTGCCCTGATTTACATTTCTCCAAGTATAATTATTCGAATACGCTGGTCCCGCATAATCCGGTGTAAACAGTTAATCAGATTTCGCTGTTTTACGATCGGCCATCAGATCGTCTTTGTCTCACGCCGGTAGTCAGCGCCCTCTGTTAAAGCAAATCCCATTCCCGCGCGTATGCAAAGGAGGAACCGGCGATATTTGGAATTCACGTTTTACGCTACATATGGCGCCGCGCGATTTTATATTTCATTTTCAAACGCAATTTTATACGCTTGGACGGTACGCGACGGGATTCCAGCTAGTAATTCTTCGCGCCCGTCCCACCGATTTCTCGTTCGTTTTAATAGCCTTTGGCGCGGATGGAGCGGTGCGGTGGAGGGTGACGCAGTGGTGGGGAATGCAGTGATGGGAGGAACGGAGATACTTTACGATCGTCGAGCGATCGTGCTGTTTGCCACCGCTATCCGTGGAAATAATGACCCTGATTGTTTTAAACGTCCGAAAGAAACAATGGAGGTGCAAATAAAGAAGCTTCGATGGATCATTGTTAAGCGTTAGGAAGAAGAAAGGAAAAAAGGATTCACGAATGTTTATTACGTCACATATATACGCCTGTAGTCGATTATTTTTCATGTTATTTAACATCCCATGCTCGAACATTTTTTTCGCTCTGCAGAAAAGCTGGTCCGCCAATACTCGAGTGTAAATTCGTACTGACACAGGGTTTTGAAGAATATGAGTAAATTGTGGAATTGTCAAAGTGTTCACAACGTCACAAAATTAGATAAGGCGTACTTGTGTCGTTAAAGATCCCGATTATAAAAAGAAATTGGTAGACTTGGAATTGGAATCGTGACGGAGGTTATGTTTGTTTAAACTTCTATAAAATATCTGTGTATCGATAAATGTGTAATAGAAGTGTTGACACGCTTGAAACAGTTGATCCTTCCTATTTATGTTTTAATATAACATTAATTCCAAGTATTATACTGTAACCGCAAAGAAAGCACACACGTGCTGCCACCTATTAATTCCAATCGTTAACAAACGTAAAATTATGACGGAACGTTTAATTTCTGAACAGTTGCTTCGGCTATCTTTTCGATCAGACCTGGAATTTAATGCAGCGAGGCTCTGTGAATCCTTGAATCTTCGAGAGCAGGAGCCACTAACCTAACCTAACTCAAAGCTATATTGTATCATCCCACAGACATAGAAGTTACCCTCGAGTCGCCGTAGGTCTCGTTATAAAGGAAAGAATTGAGGTCTGCGATAGGGCAAAGGGTCGTGTAAAGTCGCACGAACTATAGGACCGGGGACAGAGTGTTACTTCTTATTTCAGGATTTATTGGCGTGAGCTACGTGTCGCGTTTTCAAACTGCTCCGCGAGCGTGCGCCTTAAACGCTTACCTCTTGATTGAATGCCAGGAGCGACAGAGGTCGTAAAGAAGGTTTAGAGGCAAAACAGTAATGCCTGTTTCCTTGGCAAGCATCGACAGCGCCCCCAGGCCCACGCTGCTCCACACGTAAGCCGTCTGCTGGCTGAAACACGAGAGAAGAAAAATTTCGTTTAATGCGTTCAAGGAACAATTTGGTCGTTAAGTTGAAACTGTTTAATGGGTTGTTATATGGTGATCATTGAAGTTTCTTAATTTACGTCGTTCGAACCTTTCGAGTATAAGATTCAACGTGTTGTTATATTTCCTAACCTCACTTTTGGTGTTCGTGCTAGCTAAGAATGGCAGAGATAGAGCACTCAGTTTTTAACAACTTAACCACACGACTGAAGTTATTTTTGAATCCGTCTAAAATGATATAGTAGGTGAAATTGATATAGCGTGATCATAAGGTCTTTTGGAAATTGAAATTTACATGTTTTGAGAGTCGGGACATGTGAAGCGCAACATTTTATCAGACTAGAGGCTTTTGGAATATTGGAAAATGTACTGGGTTAATTTTAATTGGGTCTGCTACAACCGTCAGCGTTATTTAAATCACGAATGTTGAGAATAACCAATACTGAGAGTCAAATGTCACTTTTCAAATATTTTATTGAAAAAATTTTGTTCTTCAATGTTAATATTGCTGTAAAAATATTATTACTGAATATTAATATCGTTGCAAAAGGTACCATTATTCGATATTAATATTATTGGAAGATATTTTGTCACATATTCTCTAAAGGCTTATGTGATTAATTCCATTCAAATTGATTAGTTTAATGTACCATGGTTTGCAAGCTGTATACTTTTCTGGGAGGTCCTGTTTTTCAATTGAAATTATTAAATTCATTAGTGTAATGTTTGTACGTAATTTGCGTAATTACGTGGGCAGCGGGTACTGGAATGACAATTACCAAAAGCGTTCAGGTTGCTTCCTTCCTTTGTTTTCAGTGCTTAATGCAACAACGCACACCGGTGGCCAAGTATACGCGTAGTATAAGACAAAGAAAACTTATGTACAGTAGGGTTTGCACTTTGCTTGGGTAAACTCTGCTTCGGTCGTCGCAGTAGACTAAGCTTCTGCTTACATATTTTGTCTTTTCGTATACTTTATATGGATAAGACGATGTTTGTAGCACGACTGCAAACAATTTAAGGCCCGAGCCATCCTGTTACTGGTAGATAAACTAACCAGACAGAGACCATGTTCAGCCCACGTCGGTGAACTTCCATAGTTACAAAATACTGAAAGACGTATACCAAAGAAGAAAGCAAAAAATTATTAAAAATTACTGAGAATACAGCAATTATTTTCAGGATCTTCGCCTCAACTGATACTACAATTTCATGTTGAATAGCTTCTTTGATCGTGATGTACCGCGTGTATTATCTCAGCTGACATAGTCTTCTTAGAAGAATGGAGAACCATTCCTCCGGTGACATACATATATTGTCCTCGGTGCTAAACGGGCAGTAACTTGAAAGTATCGCTATATCATCGAAATGTTATATATAGTCGTATCAAGCAAGGAGCAGGAAGGAATTGTTACAATTTGTCCAATCGTAAGAACTATTGTACATAATATGTACATTTGACTGATGCGATATTTGCAGAATTCTTAAATTCAGAACTATATACTTATCCAGTGAACCGACATATTGAGGATACAAAACAAAACACGAGTAACTTGATTCGATAATTATTAATAAAAACGAACGCAACTTGGTACTTCCGAGCACAATACCTTTTGAGGTTAGGTTCGTGGTATACTCTTATCTACAATTTTATAACGGAATCTGAGGTATAATAATATCCAAATTAATGAGAGGATAAGATATTTCGCACAGGGTTTATTCAACTAGCAGAACGTTCATTACTTCACACGGAGATTATTTTACCCCGGGAACAATAGCAAAGAACTAAAAGTAACGTAAACGTAATATCATCTTAATTAGTCAACTGCTTATCCTTCCCTCCGGATTGCACAAAATTTTTAATACATTAAGTAACGTTGAATTACATTCCATTCGTGCTTTGCGTAATCTAAAGATCCGTCTTTTAATACTATAAAAGCTGCGGGGCGAAAATAAATTTTAGAACCCCTCGCGGTACTCGTACTCTTCTCTAGCTACAGCAGCGCGCTCTACGTGTTCCACCAGTACTATCATTCGTTTGCCTCATGACACTGTTGTAGGTATACCGTCGAATCTCGTAATGCCGGTTTCACGCTGTAATAGCGAAGGAATACGTAGTCCAGACAATAAAACTTTCGGATAATATTATACCAATATTCGCATAAAACATTTAATTAGTAGCTGCAAAAGTATTAATTCATAACAATCTATTATTCCATTGGTTGTTTATTAACAACTGGTTATTCGTAACAATTTGGTCTCTTTCATAACGCAGTCAATCAGAATGTGTTACTTTCACAGTGTAAGCAGAATGCCCTGCAGGCGCGAGACATAGCTTTTGACCTACGGTGTAAACATAACCTCACTCTGAACCTATCATGTACGATTCATCGACGTAGTAGCAAAGTTGATGCTGTGAAGGAAATATTGAAGATGGGGAAGGGATGCTAAGTCAAATCCGGTTGCAGAGAAATTCTGACGGTGTTTCAGGTAACATGGCACTGCGGTCGACTGGAAGAAAATGTGTTCGCGGTGACGGCCGTAAACGAATCGATCGAAGCAAGACGCACGCTTCGGCTGAGCAGCGAGCGATTAAAAAGCACGAGCTGCGTGCATGTGGCAACTAGAACCACGATCAAAATCGCTCTATGGCGGTTTCAAAGGTAGCTGAGCGTGCGAATAAACATTTCATTAGGGGAAGTAAAGGTATTATCACTAAATTATGCATGCGTTTCTGAATGCGCACCGACATGCCACAGCCATGTGCGTATACGAAATTTCTTCCGTGTCGGATTCACCGCGATAGCTGGAAGACGAACGGGTAAATAATTAACAAATAAATGAATAAATAAAATGACGAGGAAAACGTATAATTTCCTTTACAAACTGTACACAGCAGATAACAGTTGGGCACGTGTTGCAGGAAATGCTTTGATATACGATACGGTGACACTGATCGGTATGCAAATATTTCTTAACGAAGAAAATGCTGGAATGAACGAATACATTAAACATAATGATACGAATAAAAACGAAATGAGCAAGTAATCTCTGTGACACGATCTGGGCCGTTTTTCCTTGGCCTAGGAACATTGTGTGGGCCAAATATGGCCGATAGGGTGACAGGAAGAAATATAACATAACCTACAATCTATATTTTGCATACTTAGCGCTAGTGGGAATTTCGTAGATTAGGTTATATTTATCAACCTTCGTTAATTATTCCAATAACCATCCTTTGATAATTAAGCTTTGGTAATTATTACAATACTATTATATTTGTCAACTTTTGTTGATCCACCCTGCAGTTATGATAAAATGAAATTATGACGAAGGAAATTCAACAGAAACGAGGATACGTATAATCTAAAACTAAAGACTACTCTCTTATTAAAACCGTAGCATAAAATGGTAACAAAAATGAACAAACTTTATAATTTAATAAAAATCTAATTATTATTCTCGTCCGTTTTATTCGTTCACTCGCACTATACGCGTAACTTTTGAAAATAATCTTAGTAATAAACTAACCTAACACTTTTACAACATCAACAGATTCATAAGGAGAATGAATTTGCTTTTATTTCAAACTGTCTCAAGAAACAATGCGAATGTAACACTAAACTTTTCAACTTGATTAGCACAGAGTCAGGGCGCCATGTTCCAACAGGATTCTAGCTGCGACAAAAGCGAGAGCACCGAAGAGGGGACACAAAAGGCGCGCAAACAGTGGCGCCATATTCAAAGGTTTTTAGACGTGACTTTTCAGGACCACTATTAAAAATTTACTTGACAGCGAGCTGAAAATTCGTTCTAAATGAAATCACCGTTGACGGAAAAGAGAGAAAACGTTTAAATTAAAAGGCCGCCCGCGTGGTTAATAACGAACTCCTAGCAAAGGTTAACGAGGATCATTATAACGTATAATAAACTTGACCCATCTTTGTATCATGGCGCCACGAGGAACAATTATATCTATTCTTCTCGGCGATATATTCGAATCACATTGTGCCGCAACCGGACGGATCATGGCTAAAGAAAAATGGCAGGCCTGTTCCGCGACTTGCAATGGCGACCGGCATAATGGAGTCCCAAATGGCAGGCAGCGTTAAATTTTCACTCGAAATCGCGTCGTTTATCGATACCATGGCGAAATTAATAATCGCGAAATTCAAATTCCGGCCGGCTCGAACCTGTTCAGAGAAAATATCGCGATATGAACCCTTAAGGAATTTAAATGTTCGGAAAAAATTTCACTCGCCCGCTTTCGTCGGGGATAATTCGAATTTGCATTTAAATTGCGTTCCCGGGACGAACGAACGAATTCGTAGAAAAGGAAAGCCAGGGAAAATATTACAGCCCGGAGGAGGATCGTTCGAAAGTGCGAAAAAACAAGGATAGGAAGGGAAACAGCAGTGAAATGGAAAACAGAGGAAAAGCGTGCTGCGTGCAGTTAGACGTACATATTTTCTTTGAAGATGAAAAAACAGCATGCGTATCGTCCCATCGTTCGCTCTTGCCCTTCACCAGAGGGATGTTTCAACTTTTACCCAGGGTAAATTGTTATTAAGAAAGTTCGTAGCTTGTCATTTTAACGTGTCAGCTCTGGGATGGTTCGCTTTCGGGCCAGAGAAGAGGAAAGTTAAAGATATATCGTCGATAAGAATGGCGTAGAGAAACTCGTCAGTTGTCCTTTTCTTTCGCTGCTTTTTTGCCCCCTCTTCTTCCTTCCCATTTCCGTTCCTTTTTTATCCCACTCAAGGCTACAGTTCTGCGAGAACTATTCGAACTTCTTGAAATTAAATTAGGATATCTTTGAAGCGCCGCGTAGGCATGGGAACTTCGGGAAGGTCGAGCAGCGAAGCAGTGGAGTGTTCTAAACGAATGCGAGGGGCGATTTTATTTTTAACGGGAGGATAGGAGAGAGAAGTTATATGAAGGAACAGAGGAGGAATATATCGGTAA